CTTTTCTTCTTCTAATTTTTCATTGACTCCGATGAATTATAGAACCAGAAGAGTGGTTTTGGGTCTAGTGTGTTTTTTTTTTTTGGGGAGTTTTGGGGAGGGGGGGGGTGTTTCGTAGAAACAAGTCAAACAACCCCTCTTTCTTTTTCTTTCTGTTTTTTTTTTTCTCCTTTGACCAAATATAGCAAAAAAGCAATTTTATCGGACCTAGACTTCTTTTTTTTTTTTAACAAATTCACAATGAACTAGATTTCAACCGTTGTCCTGGAGGTAAAGAAATGCATTTATACGTTGCTTGATGCCACTAAACCCGAAAGTTTAAGTGCATCGGACCTAGACTTCTTGGGGATTATTATATAGCAAAAAAGTACTATTCTTTTTGATATTATTTAGTTATCAACTTTTTTTTTTTAGGTATTATTTAATGTATTTATTTTTATTTCAAAAAATAATTATAATATATATTAAATAAAAATTATATTTAAGTAGTAATTAATTAAAAATAAATATAAATTTTTATTAATAAATTATTATATTTTTATTTTATTAAAAAAGAGAAATATATAATTTTATAATAATAAAAGAAAAAAAATCTTACCACTACAAAACAATATTTCCAAACGAAATGTAGACTTCCGAGTTTGGAGAACGAGAGGACATATTTTCTCTCAAGTGGTTTTAATGGATACTAATTTCAATGGATAAAGAGGATGAGATTTTTCCTTATCTACCAAAGGAAAATTTATACAGTTAGAGATTATTAATCATTTTTATTGTCCTGCTTATACGATCCCTCTACTAAGTCATCCGATAAAACTCTATCTTGATCGAAAACTGACATAGATGTCTTATGCTAGCAATGAAAGTATGGATCTTTTCTTTTTTTTTTTTTTTTTGAACAGTTTTGTCATGGGACGGGTTTCGGAGAAAGGGGATGTGCACTTTTCAATGGCTCTAGCCACTGGACCACACGGGCCAAGTGCTGAAAGTATGGATCTATTGTCCTTTAGTCACACCAAAATATTTATAAACTATGGATAAACAATTTACCCTCGCCATTTCAATCTTATACAAATTTTAAACTTAATCACACCCCAGCAGTCGGTATTCAGCTAATGCAACGTACATTCACATTCTTATCTTACAAGAGCATGTCACGTAGACCACTTAAGACAATGTAATACGTTTAGCCAGATGTCATAGGAAGACCTAGATGTCCTGCTGCAGTTGCAAGGTTTTATGAATTATGCAAAAGAGCTGCACCGAAGTTTCTGAGATTCCAAGACAATTCTTGTAGTTTCTACTAGTACTTCTCCCTTGACATAGTGCTATCGACATACAGGCATGTAGACATCAGCTCCGCCTATCAAATCTGTTTGTGTCTCCTCAGTCTTAAAGTAAAGAATGCTCGTTTCCCATAGAGTTCACATCGAGCAGTTAACTTTGTCACGGAATCAGCCAGACGAATTATATCAAGCACAGAACCAAAGCTCCTTCTGCCAGGGATATTTGAGTGCACCATGCAATGTCAGTGGGAATGTATAATCCTAGTAATGGGGAAAAAGGAAACTCGATGAAATGGCAGTAGATTAAATTAATACCTCAGATAGTCACCATCTAGGCCTGTAACAATCACAGTTTTGCCATCATGATCGGCAGCTTCACAACAGAAATCATAAAGGTCTTCAAAAAACTGAGCTTCATCAATACCGATAACGTCTAGCTGTCACATAAAATAGTCATGTACATATACCACAACGTGTGCACAGAAAACTGAAAGAGTTTTTCAACAAAAAATAGCCATGCATTATAGACCCAAATTAAGAGGGCAGAAAAGTTTCAGCATTATTCCTAGCAAACTTGTCTTGTCATATATTCTGTAGAGGGAACCTGTTTTACAGTCCGGATTGCATCAGACTGTAAAACAGGGACCATTGGATGGGGAGAGGGCCCCCAATATCAGGGGGCCCACCCCCATCCAATGGTTAGTGTAGTTCAGTCACTACACTTTCTTGTTCCGTAGATGCAACTACACTAGTAGATAGAATCAATATTGAGCAAATAAGTGGTTAATATTCTGA